CAGACTAACAGAAGATCTCTCAGCAGAAACTACAAGCCAGAAGAGAGTGGAGCCAATATTCAACATTCTTAAAGGAAATAATTTTCAACCCAGAATTTCATATCCAGCCAAAAGCTTCATAAGTGAAGGAGAAATAGAATCCTTTACAGAAAAGCAAATGCTGAGAGATTCTGTCACCACCAGTCCTGCCTTACAAGAGCTCCTGAAGGAAGCACTAAACATGGAAAGGAACAACCAGTACCAGCCACTGCAAAAACATGCCAAATTGTAAAGACCATCAATGCTATGAAGAAATGGCATTAACTAATGGGCAAAATAACCAGCTAACATCATAATGACAGGATCAAATTCACAGTTAACAATATTAACCTTAAATGTAAATGGACTAAATGCCCCAATTAAAAGACACAGACTGGTAAATTGGATACAGTCAAAACCCATCAGTGTGCTGTATTCAGGAGATCCATCTCACACATAGGCTGAAAATAAAGGGCTGGAGGAAGATCTACCAAGCAAATGGAAAGAAAAAAGGGGGGGGGGTTGCAATCCTAGTCTCTGATAAAACAGACTTTAAACCAACAAAGATCAAGAGAGACAAAGAAGGCCATTACATAATGGTAAAGGGATCAATTCAATAAGAAGAGTTAACTATCCTAAATATATATGCACTCAACACAGGAACACCCAGATTCATAAAGCAAGTCTTTAGAGACCTACAAAGAGACTTAGACTCCCACACTATAAAAATGGGAGACTTTAACACCCCATTGTCAACATTTAGACAGATCAACGAGACAGAAGGTTAACAAGGATATCTAGGACTTGAACTCAGCTCTGCACCAAGCAGACCTAATAGACATCTTCCAGAGGTACAAAGACCGCTGGGACCATTCCTTCTGAAACTATTCCAATCAATACAAAAAGAAGGAATCCTCCTTAACTCATTTTATGAGGCCAGAATCATCCTGATACCAAAGCCTGGCAGAGACACAACAACAAAAAAAAGAATTTTAGACCTGATGAACATCGATGCAAAAATCCTCAATAAAATACTGGCAAACCGGATCCAGCAGCACATCAAAAAGCTTATCCACCATGATCAAGTGGGTTTCATCCCTGGGATGCAAGGCTAGTTCAACATATGCAAATCAATAAACGTAATCCAGCATATAAACAGAACCAAAGACAAAAACCACATGATTATATCAATAGATGCAGAAAAGGCCTTTGACAAAATTCAACAGCCCTTCATGCTAAAAACTCTCAATAAACTAGGTATTGATGGAACACATCTCAAAATAATAAGACCTATTTATGACCAACCCACAGCCAATATCATACTAAATGGGCAAAAGCTGGAAGCATTGCCTTTGAAAACTGGCACAAGACAGGGATGCCCTCTCTCACCACTCCTATTCAACATGGTGTTGGAAGTTCTGGCCAGGGCAATCAGGCAAGAGAAAGAAATAAAGAGTATTCAGTTAGGAAAAGAGGAAGTCAAATTGTCCCTGTTTGCAGATGACATGAGTGTATATTTAGAAAACCCCATCATCTCAGCCCAAAATCTCCTTAAACTGATAAGCAACTTCAGCAAAGTCTCAGGATACAAAATCAATGTGCAAAAATCACAAGCATTCCTATATATCAATAATAGACATACAGAGAGCCAAATCATGAGTGAAATCCCATTCACAATTGCTACAAGGAGAATAAAATACCTAGGAATCCAACTTACAAGGGATGTGAAGGACTTCTTCAAGGAGAACTACAACGACTGCTCAACGAAATAAAAGACACAAACAAATGGAAGAACATTCCATGCTCATGGATAGGAAGAATCAATATTGTGAAAATGGCCATACTGCCCAAGGTAATTTATAGATTCAATGCCATCCCCATCAAGCTACCAATGATTTTCTTCACAGAATTGGAAAAAAAATACTGTAAAGTTCATATGGAACTAAAAAAGAGCCCACATTGCCAAGACAATCCAAAGCCAAAAGAACAAAGCTGGAGGCATCACGCTACCTGACTTCAAACTATACTACAAGGCTACAGTAACCAAAACAGTATGGTACTAGTACCAAAACAGAGATACAGACCAATGGAACAGAACAGAGGCTTCAGAAATAACACCACACATCTACAACCATCTGATCTTTGACAAACCTGACAAAAACAAGACGTGGGGAAAGGATTCCCTATTTAATAAATGGTGTTGGGAAAACTGGCTAGCCGTATGTAGAAAGCTGAAACTGGATATCTTCCTTATACCTTATATAAAAATTAATTCAAGATGGATTAAAGACTTAAATGTTAGACCTAAACCCATAAAAACACTAGAAGAAAACCTAGGCAATACCATTCAGGACATATGCATGGGCAAGGACTTCATGACTAAAACACCAAAAGCAATGGCAACAAAAGCCAAAATAGACAAATGGGATCTAATTAAACTAAAGAGCTTCTGCACAGCAAAACAAACTACCATCAGAGTGAACAGGCAACTTACGGAATAGGAGAAAATTTTTGCAATCTACCCATCTGACAAAGGGCTAATATCCAGAATCTACAAAGAACTTAAATTTACAAGAAAAAAAAAATGCCATCAAAAATTGGGCAAAGTATATGTACAGACACTTCTCAGAAGAAGATATTTGTGCAGCCAACCGACACGTGAAAAAATGCTCATCATCACTGGTCATTAGAGAAATGCACATCAAAACCACAATGAGATACCATCTGACACCAGTTAGAATGCCAATCATTAAAAAGTCAGGAAACAACAGATGCTGGAGAGGATGTGGAGAAATAGGAACACTTTTACACTGTTGGTGGGAGTGCAAAGTAGTTCAACCACTGTGGAAGACAGTGTGGCAATTCCTCAAGGATCTAGAACTAGAAATGGCATTTGACGCAGTGATCCCATTACAGGGCATATACCCAATAGATTATAAATCAAGCTACTATAAAGACACATGCACACATATGTTTATTGTGGCACTATTCCCAATAGCAAAGAATTGGATCCAACCCAAATGTCCACCAATGATAGACTGGATTAAGTAAATGTGGCACATATACACCATGGAATACTATACAGCCATAAAAAGGATGAGTTCATGTCCTTTGCAGGGGCATGGATGAAGCTGGAAACCATCATTCTGAGCAACGTATCACAAGAATAGAAAACCAAACACCACATATTCTCACTCATAGGTGGGAATTGAACAATGAGAACACTTGGACACAGGGCGGGGAACATCACACACTGGGGCCTGTCATGGGGTGGGGGGCAGGAGGAGGGATAGCATTAGGAGAAATACCTAATGTAAATGATGAGTTAATGAGTGCAGCAATCCAACCTGGCACATGTATCCCCATGTAACAAACCTTCACGGTGTGCACATGTACCCTTAGAACTTAAAGTGCAATTTAAAAAAAAAAGTAACTTCCAATATTTTTACTATTAGCACTCTCTGAAGAAGTGTTTGTGGTGGTCGTGGTGGTGGGGGAGGGTGGTCTGTGTTTGTGGGGGGGGGCGGGTATAGGGCTGGACCTTGAGATGGACAAGGTCCATTTCATTAATATTCATTTTAAAAAGATTCATTGAACACTTACTATGTGCAAACAGGCACTCTACTAATTAACAGCCATTTCAGATTTTCAGAGTGCAAAGGGCCTCAAGAACAAATTATTTATTTTTATTTTTTTGAGACAGGGTCTTGTTCTGTCTCACACCCTGCAGTGTAGTGGCATGATCACCGCTCACTGTAGCCTCCACCCCCCACTCCAGAGCTCAAGTAATTCTCTCACCTCAGCCTCCACAGTAGCTGAAACCACAGGCTTGGGCAACCACGTCTGGCTCATATTTTTATTAATTGTAGAGACCGGGGTCTTGCAACATTGCCCAGGCTGGTCTGGATCTCCTGAAACTGCCTTTGCAAAATTATAGCTGAGGAAACTATGGCAGTGAAAGAAATCAGACCTAACCGACTCCATTTTGCTTCTAACTTTTAAGCTGTCCTTGTTCATTCCTGAGCCTAGGCTGAACCAACTTAGGAAGGAATTCAGTTTATTGTTTGACTCTGAAACAAAATTGTTAATATCCCTTTCCCAAAAAAACTGCTTGCTTGCCTGGGGACCAGTCTGCCTTTGCAGGACTAACAGATTAGCTACAAGATTAGAAATTACAGTTTAGAGGTCATGCAGCCTCTGGCTCCAAGTGTCTGAATCTCCCCAGATTGCTCCTGGGGATAACATCACTATTGTAAAATCTAAGATAAGTGCTTGACATATTTTGCAGACCCTGCTTTCCATGGATCAGCTGAAACCACCCAGATTGGTAATTTGGCCCAATCAGTTCTGCCATCCTACCCAGGAACAGAAAACAGCAAGAAAAACTCACTTCTACCCACTATGAGTCCATCTTTAACCTGACCCATCAGCACTCCCTACTTCCCAAGCCCCTACTCGCCAAATTATCTTTAAAAACTCTGATGACTAGTAGGGGAGACTGAGTAAGAATAAAACTCCAGTCTCCTGCACAGCCGGCTCTGCATGAATTACTCTTTCTCCATTGCAATTCCCCTGTCTTGATAAATGGGCTCCCCGTCAGCAGCAGGCAGAGTGAACCCCAATATTGGGTGGTTACACTTCTAGGCTCAAGCAATCCTGCTGTCCGGCTTCCCAAAGTGCTGGGATTACAGGCGTGAGCCACCACGTCCAACAGGAACAAATGATTTCTTAAAAGCAACTCAAATATTTAAATATTATTTAAAACTGTTTCTGGACAAATCGGAGGGACTTTGGGACAAGAATATGGTCGCGGGACTTTGAACGCAGGCAGTGAAGACACCTATGAGCCATCAGTGGGGTCCTACGGCAGCCGTGGATCTGTTCTGCCTTGCAGGCGAAAGTGTGGTCAGCTATATCGGAGCGCCATGGGGGCCTGAGTGGCGCATCTGCGCAGGCGCCGGGCTCCTAAGTATACCCAGGAACTGACCCTGCTCTCTCTTTTCCCTGTTAGACATGGTAAGTGTGAGTCAACCGCAGCTGTCCTGATGGGTTGGTAGCAGACAGGGTAGGGTAGGGTAGGGTTGAGTAGGGTTAAGCACACTGGTCACCTTAGGATTGGTTTCCTGGTGCTGGAGAATGATTAAGACACAGGCCTTGAAGATTTTTTGAGTGTGAAATATTACTCAGCATTTTTTGCAGACCTCGCGGGCAATGCCGCTTCTGATTTTATCCAGGCCTTCTGTAGGGAGGGCCTGTTAGAGTTGAGCAGCCCGATTTCTTAAACCCTCTAAAAAGCTGGCGCTGATTGGTGGCTTTTTTTTTTTTTTTTGGAGGGGGGATGTCAAAAATTTCTTTAAAATCGTTAGTGATGTGGTCTCGCTTTAAGATTTTTAGTGGGATCAGAGGAAAATTCGGTACTTAATCACTTCCGGTAATCTTCATGACCTATTATTATGACTACTGTGTACTCTCAATGAGGAAGATAAAGATACGAAAAGAACTAGAGCCACATCACATGGGGACTTATGCAAATACAGAGACTCGGATTAAAGGTGGAGAAGATGGAGCTAAAGGAACTACTTATTTAATACATTTGAACAACTTTTGGGGTATTTAGAAGGTGCTTTGAAACCTGCATTTGATAAGCAAAAATTCGCTTGCAAATTAAGGGCCAGTTAGATAAAAAAATATGTATATATGCTCTCTGCCACATGTAAACCGTAAATTGTCCTGAAATGATAAGCTTTGATATTCTATGGTGTTTATTTTTTACTTACCTTTTTGAATGAAAAGTGAACAACAAGCAATGCTGGTGGTAATTTTTTGGGTCAATGATGAGCTGGCATGTATTCTGAATCTAAAGTTGATTATTAATACTTTAGCTCTAGAATTACTCTGAGACCTGAAAATTACCTGAATCGTGACTAAGATGGAGCTCGAATGACTTAAGTTCTTTTTTGTTAGATAGAATTTTTGTTTGTTTGTTTTGTTTTTGAGTCAGGGTCTCCCGTCGCCCAGGATGGAGTGCAGTAGTACGACCTCAGTTCACTGCAGCCTTAATTTCCTGGCCTCAAGCGATCTTCTACCTCAGCCTCCCTAGTTACAATTTTTAAATGGAACATTTTCCTATTACAAGATTAAACGAAGTGAAAATTGAGATGTATGTTGAATCTGTGCTGTGGGGCAGAAGAACATTGTAGAGGTAAACATTGATAGATTACTGCTTTTTTATTTTGAAAGGGCACTCCACAGAAGGATGTTATTATCAAGTCAGATGCACCAGACACCCTATTATTGGAGAAACATGCAGATTATATCGCATCCTATGGCTCAAAGAAAGATGATTATGTATGTATGATTTTATGTTGGAAAGTTTATTTTAAAGAAGTGTGACAGTCATAAGCGGTGATACAGTATTTATATTTTATGTCTTAAAATGGCATCCAACTCCATGCAGAGAACTGAGGATTTCCTGTGCCTTTGAACTTCAGTTAAGTGTGCTTTGGACGTCTGAGATTGTGGGCTTATTAGAATCGCAGTATTCACCTATACTGAGAGGGCTTGCCAAAGTAGATAAGGGTTTGAGGTACAAAACGGGTTTCCCTTTTTGTAGTTAGAAGTAATACTTTCAAGGTCAATGATGTTTTGGCATGTATTATCTGAATCTATTGCTGATGTGTAATAACACTTTAGCTCTAGAATTACTCTGAGACCTTGAAAAGGTTTTACCTTAAATTTTTAAATTTCAAGGAAAACTCTCTGGGACGATCTTAGCAAAAAGTAGTAAACAACTTAGTTAAGAGTAAATGTTTTTCCCTGTAGTATCCAAACTCAGTTGTCTTAAGCTTATCTACCTATTTGTGGGATGTATGTATTAATTTTTTACTTAAGTGTTAGGTTCCCATAACCTTGAAAATACTCTAGTAGCAACGTTGAAAATACTCTAGTAGCAATCATGGAGTTAAGGCCATATGGATGGGGCTGGACTCGTTTCTGCCTTTATCTGCTATCTATGCCCTGAATTTGGGTTAGTAGCAAATTAAGATGTACCACCTGTTAAAAAAAACTTTTTTTTTTTTTTCCTTTTGGGAGGTATAACCTCACTTTGTTGCCCAGACTGGAGGACAGTGGTGCGATCTGGGTGCAACCTCCACCTCCTGGGCTTAAGTCAGTCACCTGAATAGCTGGGATTACAGGCGCATTCTACCACGCCCAGCTAGTTTTTGTATTTTTGGTAGAGACAGAGTTTTGCTATGTTGACCAGAGTGGTCTCAAACTCCTGACCTCAAGTGATCACCTCAAGTGATCTGTCTGCCCCAGCTTCCCAAAGTGCTGGGATTACAGGCAGGAGCCACCACCCAGCCACAAAACTTCTTAAAATGTAATGCATTGTTGAGTGTGGGAAAAATTTGTTTCCGGAATCCTAATACTAATTTTCATCTATCATTGATTAGCCACTGTTTTATCTGGGCGTAGACATCTTTAGAATGTTTACGGCATTTTGATTTTTCATGAAGTTATATAATTTCCTAATAGATAGTAAGTTTTGTACAGAGTCCACATTAAAATAGATGTCCGATAAATATGGTATAGGTACTCGGAAAGAAATACTGTCCCTGAACTTCACTGATGAAAAAGGTAGATGCTTTTCTGTCTTTGGCTCATGGGAGAAACTAAAGCCCTGTTTGTATTGTCAGCCATAGATGAACTAATCCTGTGCTTCTCAGATAATTGTTTTTTTTGTGATTAATAGTTGTGTCTGAAGATGGCCTCTAACGTTGAGCGGCACAAATTTTAAACTCAATACTGATTAGTGGTGTTAAGGTCAGGAGAGGTAAAAATAGCAGCATGGCTAATAAGTTACCTTTGTGTTTGATCTCTTTATAACCTGTTTTCAGTTCAAACTGACACATTTAAGAATTGTGTATTATTTTAGGAATACTGTATGTCTGAGTATTTAAGAATGAGTGGCATCTATTGGGGTCTGACAGTAATGGATCTCATGGGACAACTTCATCGCATGAATAGAGAAGAGATTCTGGCATTTATTAAGTCTTGCCAACACGAATGTGGTGGAATAAGTGCTAGTATCGGACATGATCCTCATCTTTTATACACTCTTAGTGCTGTCCAGGTAAATACTAACTAAAATTGCAATGATCTTGATAGTGTGTTCTCTTACTTCAGAGTTGGAAATTGAAACTATTAGGATTTGGTCAAAAAGTTTTGTTACAAGTGAAGCTGTCCTACAAGGTCAATGATGTAATGGCATGTATTAGCTGAATCCAAAGTTGATGTGAGTTTCTAAAATTACACTGAGACCTTGCAGGGTAAAATTTTTATCTTCAGTATGTGTAAATACTGTTAAATAGCTAAGTGGATCTGTTTGATTTTGGTATTAGTGAACATCTACCTGGTTTAAAGTCTTTCTGGTGCTGGGTGCTGAGATGGGAAGATCAGGACTTTGTGTGTATGTGAATTAGTACATTTGAGTATCTTGGAATGCCAAGTTAAAGTTTATATGTAGAAAAATTATACTTTAAAGATTTGGGTTTTGATAATATCTGTAATTTTATTGAATAATAGGAGAGTCTGCATATTTGAGAAAAGGCTATATACAGAGACAAAAGGAGCGCTTGGCAACTTAAAAAGAGTTGAGCATAAGATTAGAATAAACCTGAAAGGGGTATTTACCTAATACTTGTCTTTATTGCAGATTCTTACACTGTATGACAGTATTAATGTTATCGACGTAAATAAAGTTGTGGAATATGTTAAAGGTCTACAGAAAGAAGATGGTTCTTTTGCTGGAGATATTTGGGGTAATGTCAGATTTAGTCCATTCTACCCAAAATACCAATATTAAAGTGTACTGGTTTTGCTAGTAACCAGTTTATAAGTTTTTCATCTTTTCAGGTCCCACTAAGCAGCTGGTCTAACTGGAGTTAATGGTCTGCTGGAACTTCCAGCATGCACTGTGGTAGTTATATCAGCATACAGGAGCACTGGAACAGAGGGGGCCAGTCTAAAAGATAAGGTAGGTGGAATTTTTTTTCCCCAATATTTGGTGGCTTTGTAAAGTTTTTTAAAAACTACTTGCTGGAAAGGGAAAAAAATTTTAAAAAAACTTTACAAACTTGCTGAATATTTGAGTGGAGGGAGGGAATAGAATTGTATTTGATAAATGTAGATAATCTCTGCTTTAGGGATGAACACAGTGCAGGCCAGAGAGACCAGCTGCTTCATGGGATGTGAAAAATCTGCTTTTATAAGGTAGGGTAAGTTTATTGCATTATTAGAAATTGCCTAATACTTTTGGTTCTATTAGTTTTCTTCTCTTTCTGGGCATTCTTTAAGCAGCTTAAGATAATTTGCTGTGACTTTTTTGTGGCAGGGTCTTGCTCTGTCCAGGCTGGAGTGCAGTGGTGCAGTTACTGCCCACTGCAGCCTTGACAGTCCACGCTCATGATCCTCAGGCCTCAGCCTCCTGAGTAGCTGGGACTGTATAGGCTCATACTATCGCAGGCAGCTATTTGTTTGTTTGTTTGTTTATTTTTTGGTGGGAGGAGGCAGAGTTGCTGGGGTTGCAGAGCTTTGTTGCCCAGGCTGGAGTGCAGTGGTGCAATCTTGGCTCACTGCAACCTCCTCCTCCCAAGCTCAAGCAGTTCTCCTGCCTCAGCCTCCAGAGTAGCTGAGACATGCACCACAACACCTGGCTGGCTTTTGTATTTTTAGTAGAGATGGGGTCTTCTGGCCTCATGTGATCCTCCTGCCTCGGCTGCCAAAAGTGCTGGGATTTCAGGCCTGAGCCACAGTGCCCAGCCCCAGCTAATTTTTTAAAAAAGTTTTTTGTAGAGATGGGGTCCTGCTATGTTGCCTAGGCTAGTCTCAAACTCCTAGGCTCAAGTGATTCTCCCGCATCAGCCTCCCAAAGTGTTGGGATTATAGGCAAGAGCTACTGTGCCTGGTCAATTTGCTGTTATTTTTGACAAAGGAATTTTCTTGGGAAGTAAAGGCACTTCAGATTTAGCTTTCTTCCTGACTACCCTAAAGTTTTTACTTTAGGGTTAAAAAAAAGTAAAGCTTGAACTCAATTTAAAGTAGTAGTTGTGCAGTTTGTTTTTAGATGACTCATGTATGATTTGGTAACTCCTGCCTTGATTTGATCTCTTTTTATTGTAGGAGAAATTGATACAAGATTCTCTTTTTGTGCGGTGGCAACTTTGGCTTTGTTGGTAAGCTTTGAATATTTGAAATGATTAAAGTTCATGAATGCTCTGGATTTTTTTTTTTTTTTGTCTGATCTGCTGAATACTCTGGAATTTAACAGGTTTTTTTTTGTTTGTTTGTTTGTTTTCTGTTTGTAGGGGAAGCTTGATGCTATTAATGTGGAAAAGGCAATTGAATTTGTTTTATCCTGTATGAACTTTGATGGTGGATTTGGTTGCAGACCAGGTTCTGAATCCCATGCTGGGCAGGTAATGTATTAACACAGATGAATATTTATTGTCATTTTGGAAGCAAGTGTAGTAAAATAGGAAAATGGGTTATTTCGGTGTTTGTCAAATACACATAAAGTTAATGACTGTAATATGGCATCTTAAGAATTGCTTAGTTGCTTTCATTGCTTTGCTTTATATACTATATACCTTTCTCTGTCAGTGGATCCCTCTGACCTAAGCAAACATAAGTAGGTTTGTAAGCACCAAAACACATTTTTTTCCACTAATTTTTCACTAACCATACAGATAAAAAAAAACACACACACACATTTTTCTTTCTGCCCTGAGATAAATGATGAACCTCCTTTCTTGAGTCAGAGAACATTGAATATGTGAATGGCTGCGATTTACTAACCATGAAGAAATTTTGACAGTAATATTTCAGTACAGAATTGCATACTAGTAACACTATGCTTGGATTTGTTCAGATAAGTGGTATTAATACGTGTTTGGAATTTTAAGTGTCAGATCGAGAAGAAAACCTTAAAATATAAAGTGGTGTTTTAATAATTTGAGTAGTTTTATCACTTTTACTGTCAAGGAATTATTATACACATATACTTTATGTCTGTAATTTTAGATCTATTGTTGCACAGGATTTCTGGCTATTACAAGTCAGTTGCATCAAGTAAATTCTGATTTACTTGGCTGGTGGCTTTGTGAACGACAGTTACCTTCAGGCGGGCTCAATGGAAGGCCAGAGAAGGTATTGTTTGATAAGCTCTGTTCTGCTGACTTTAGAACCTTGAGTGAATGCTGCAGCTTTGTCTTGCCTATTTCAATATTGTAAATTGGCCATGAGCTTATTTATTAACTTTCCCTCTTGCAAATTTTCAGTAATGCGTCCTACTAAAAGACTCCCCTTGGCAAAAGTAGAGCCCCGTGAGTTGAAATACTCATTGATCCTGATGTCCATTTCCAGACAGTCTTGCACAGGAATCTCCATGTTTAAGGACAGTTGGTTTTGGCAAATTGGATTTTTAAAAAATTAGGCTACAGAATTTTTGTTTACAGTCTTCTTATTTAAGGAATACCCAGATAATTTAGTTTGGAGAGAGGATATTATTAAATTTTCCTCCACATGATAGGTCCCTATATCAGGTCTGTAAGGGACAAACAGTGAATACTCATTTGCAACTATGTGATTTTCCTGTAGAGCAAGTGCAGCCATAAGTGGTAAGAAATGAATGGGTATGACTGTGTTCCAATTAAAATTATTATGGACAGATATACTTATTTCATATGTCAGATTTTTTTTTTTTTTTTTTGAGATGGAATCTTGCTCTGTTGCTCAGGCTGGAGTGAAGTGGCGCCATCTCAGTTCACTGCAACCTCCGCCTCCCAGGTTCAAGCAGTTCTCCTGCCTCAGCCTCCCGAGCAGCTGGGACTACAGGCGCACAGCTAATTTTTGTACTTTTATTAGGGACAGGGTTTCACCATATTGGCCAGGCTGGTCTCGAACTCCTGACTTTGTGATCCGCCTGACTCAGCCTTCCAGAGTGCTGGGATTATAGGCGTGAGCCACTGCGCCTGACCCAGGACTATTTTTAAATGATTTACAAATGTAAAATGTGTTCCTACACTATAGTCTAGATTTGACTCAAGGATTGTAGCTTGCTGTGCCCTCTGAATGGGACGTGGTGGTACAGTAGCTGGGATTACAGGCGTGCGCCACCACGCCCATCTAATTTTGTATTTTTAGTAGAGATGGGGTTTCATCATGTTAGTCAGGCTGGTCTCAAACCCCTGACCTCAGGTGATCCACCCTCCTAAGCCTCCCAAAGTGCTGGGAGTACAGGCATGAGCCACCGTGCTCAGCCTGTATTTTTATTTTTAAACCTCAGTTTTTCTGAGTGACAATGGGCAGAGAAACACCCACAGTTGCTGTCTACAACAGAGTGGAATAAAAAACTTGAGGAACTGTCAACAGAAAAATGGGTGGCCGTGCCTGGGCCTGCATTTGCTCACAATCTAGGGCAGCTTCTAATGGGTCTCATTAAAATTCAAGGATCTCATTAAAATGCAGCCTTGGGTGGGATTTTCTTCCTTACAGACTTATGTCACCATATTTTGAAGAGCTAGAGTTTAGTTGAATTTTAAGCAGGTGTGTACCCACCTGGACAGTGCTGGTAGAAAAACAGAACTGTACCCATGGATTTCATGATTATACTACTAGCTTCTTGGTTAAGGGGCTGAGTTAGGCATTTGTTGCAGATAGAAACAAGGTAGATGCACGCTTATCAGTGAGTACTGAGATATTTAGCATGGTTACCTATGAATTGGAGTTTGGTCTCTTCTTACCCATTAATTGATTATCTTTCATTCTAAGCAAGTATTTCATACCCTACATGTCAGTATATCCCTGGATTTCGTCCCTCCACATGGTTTGACACTTAGAACATCAGATTACTTGAGAGTGAGACTTAATCCACTTTTAAATTGTTCTCAAAATTAGGGAAATAAAAGAGAATGAAATTGTGGCAACTTTTTTCCCTCCTAGTTACCAGATGTATGCTATTCATGGTGGGTCCTGGCTTCCCTAAAGATAATTGGAAGACTTCATTGGATTGATAGAGAGAAACTACGTAATTTCATTTTAGCATGTCAAGATGAAGAAACGGGGGGATTTGCAGACAGGCCAGGAGATATGGCAAGTAATATTTCTGACATATTTGTATAAATTATTTTAGTGTCGCATTCCTTCATGGTTCCATGGATTTCCAGGGTGGTATTCCAAGTGTTGCTTTGAAAGCAGTGTTTTTTTCTATTTCTCGTAGAATGTATGAAGGATATAGAACAATCTTACAGAAATTTCTTGTCGCCTGTTGCTAACAAAATTAGTATATGGTAAAGGTCAGGTATTAATGATTTGAAGTTAAAGAAGTTTTCATTTTGTAATCTGTATATAAATTCTTTTTTAAATAGGTGGATCCTTTTCATACCTTATTTGGAATTGCTGGATTGTCACTTTTGGGAGAAGAACAGATTAAACCTGTTAATCCTGTCTTTTGCATGCCTGAAGAAGTGCTTCAGAGAGTGAATGTTCAGCCTGAGCTAGTGAGCTAGATTCATTAAAGTGAAAGCTGCATAGTATAGTTTTGCCATTTTAACATTTCTGTATTTGAAGTGCTTATTAAATCTAAAAATGAATACTGTTAATATTTTGTACATTGTGTTAAATTAATTTTAATAAATTATATAATTATACATATTGTAAAATAAAGACCTGTATTTTATTTTCTGCTCTTTATTCTGAAGTCCTGTTATTCTGACTACAGTTTTTTGTGTATACTTTTGTGTCTGTTATTTATGTTCAATAACTGAGCTAATGTAGAAGAACTCTAGGTTTCTACTTGATTTTTCTCCCATGTATACCTTTCATGTGTTCTATAGCAAGTTGATGTAAAATGGTTTGTCAACAAGAATGTTAACTGATGAAAGTGGATAGAACCCATACATGAATTAAATGATGCACAAAATAAATGGTTGTTGAAATTTGGAAATGATTCATAGGTTTGAATATGGTTATTCTGAATTAGTCACAGACTTAGGTTAAATGGCAGTCTACCATCTTAAAATGGGGTTGTGATTCGGACTGTACATATTTTTTAGCATTTTATATATCAGAATTACCCAAGGAAGGGGTTACCTTCAAATAAGGAAACACTAACAGTTGAGTTGATGGTCGCCACAGTATTTTTTTGCACCTATCTTTTTCTTAAAAAGCTAAAATGGGTACAATTCACTTTTTTTTTTTTTTTTTTTTTTTGAGACAGTCTGTTGCGCAGGTTGGAGTGCAGCAGCACGATCTCGGCTTGCTGCAACCTCTCCCTGCCTGGTTCAAGCAATTCTGCCTCAGCCTCCCGAGTAGCTGGGACTACAGCCTCACACCACCATTTCTGGCTAATTTTTTTGTTATTTTAGTAGAGTTGGGGTTTCACCATGCTGGTCGGCTGGTCTCAATCTCCCGACTTCGTGATCCGCCCGCCTCGGCCTCCCTAAGTGCTGGGATTACAGGCATGAGCCACCACGCCCTGCCTAAAATGGGCACAATTACTCTTTGGGGGTTTACAGTTTTGGTGAAAATGAGGTATTCTCTGTTTTTAAATTTTATTTTTTAGAGACAGGGTCTTCCTTTGTTCCCCAGGCTGGGGTGTAGTACAGTCACAGCTCACTGCAACCTTAAACTCCTGGGCTCAAGCAGTCCTTCCACCTCAACCTCTTGAGTACCAGGGACTACAGGCACCTGTCACCATGCCCACTATGTCCAGCTGATATTTTAATTTTGGGGGCAGGCAGTGTCTTCCCCAGGCTGGTCTCCTGAGGTGAAGTGATCCTCTGGCCTCAGTCTCCCAAAGTGCTGGGATTACAGGCAGGAGCCACCGTTCCCAATCTGAAAATAAGGTTTTTTTATGGAAATTGAGATTTTCTCAAGTATGTTTGGAATACCCTGTGCAATAATTATTCCAAGAACAGAGACGTTCTTAAGGACTGTTGCCATTGCATGTGGGTAAACTGCTGTGCATAACTGGTTTATTGAGATACTCAACAGTGACAGGATTTCAGTAGTGGTGTAAATGTCTTCTAATAACTTCTATATGACAGTATCCAGATAATTGCATCATGGTTAATTCACGGATCTCTGGTAAGTTGGTACTATTGGCCTTATTTAAGGAATTTTCTTTTTTTTTTTTTTTTTTTTTTTTTTGAGACGGGGTCTCGCTCTGTCACCCAGGCTGGAGTGCAGTGGCCGGATCTCAGCTCACTGCAAGCTCCGCCTCCCAGGTTCACGCCATTCTCCTGCCTCAGCCTCCCGAGTAGCTGGGACTACAGGCGCCCGCCACCTCGCCCGGCTAGTTTTTTGTATTTTTTAGTAGAGACGGGGTTTCACCGGGTTAGCCAGGATGATCTCGATCTCCTGACCTCGTGATCCACCCGTCTCGGCCTCCCAAAGTGCTGGGATTACAGGCTTGAGCCACCGCGCCCGGCCTATTTAAGGAATTTTCTAAAGGTCACCATTGCAAAGCTGGAGTTTGAACTTCTAGTATGCTATTAACTGATTTATATGTTAGAAACCACAGTACTAGAAATTGGTGGATGGGGAACTGTTAACTGAGAGATCTTACCCAGTTAGTCTGTCCCTGTTTCCTACTCTACTATGCACACGGCCATGTGCACACTGTCTTGTGATAATATAACCAGATCTTTCCTATATTTGGTCACAAGATAAACTTTAGGTGAGTTATACTGTGTGAGCATTACACGTTCTCATTGTGTCAAAGGCACTGGGTGTACTGTGTTTGGTGGTTTCTACATTTCAAGATAAGCTAGTGTGCTTGGATGTGTGGGAAATGCCTATATCATTTTGCAATAAGGGAGATTGGGTGCTGTGATAATAATGGGGCTAACAAATTGGGTGGTAATTCATGGGCCTTGCAGAGTTCTGGTCAGTCTGATACCTGCAGGCTGAGGAGGTTCCAGTGAGGTTCATGTGGAAAGGGATGGGTTTGGGAACTGCTGGAAGCAGGGTCGTAGACCTGAAGCACGTGAATCCATGTGGAAAGCTGAGGCTGCAGGCGCCTGCGCAGTGCAGCTTAGTTCGTCGGCGCGCAGTTCTCCCGCCCTTTCCAGCTGCGCATCTTCCGTAGTTGGGCTACGCGAGGGGGTGCTCAGAAACCTCACACTTCTCGGGTCAGGGAAGGTTTGGGAGGATGCTGAGGCCTGAGATCTCATCAGCCTCGCCTTCTGCCCCGGCGGTTTCCCCGTCGTCGGGAGAAACCCGCTCACCACAGGGTCCCCGCTACAATTTCAGACTCCAGGAGACTCCTCAGAGACGCCCTTCAGGCCAGGTGGCCTCTGCATCCACCCCTCCCGGCACGTCAGGAGCCGCGGGCGACCGGAGCAGCAGCAGCAGCCTCCCCTGCCCCGCGCCAGGCTCCCGGCCAGCTCAAGGCAAGGAGTGGTTGGGTGGAGGAGTGTCCTTGAGGCTAGAGGCCGGCAGTTCATGGAGGCTCAGGGACACGTGCGTGGTGGTTACCACAGTGAAGTTCAGTTGTGGTTTGGTTGGGGCGTGAGATCAGAGTGCCCTGGGAGTTTGGTCTGGGTGATTAGAAGCCTTGACTTTTCAAATTGGTTCTATTGCAAGACCTTGATTGTGGATGGCTCAGTTCTGAGGAAGGCTGAAGTATCCCACATAACGTCCCTCAGAGTGTCTGACAAATGACAGTTTGTGCGTGAGTTTGCTGATAGAAGTGGTGAGCTGATCTTTGACTGCTGAATTTAATTCTCCAAATCCTGCTAGGGTGGGATAAAATAGAATAAATTGAACATTTCATCTAATTCAGGAAAATAATATGTTTAGTATTAAAAGATGTGGGCTGGGCGGTGGCTGACGCCTGTAATCCCAACACTTTGGGAAGCCGAGGTGGACGGATCACTTGAGGCCGGGAGTTCTTTCTACACCAGCCTGGCCAACATGGTGAACCTTCCAACCCCATCCCCCATCTCTACTAAAAATACAAAAATTATCTGGGTGTGGTGGCGCATGACTGTGGTCCTAGCTACTCAGGAGGCTGAGGTGGGAGGATGGCGAGTCCAGGAAGTCGAGGCTGCCGTGAGCCGAGATCGCGCCACTGCATTTCAGCCTGGGTGACACAGTGAGACCCTGACTCAAAACAAACAAACAAAAAAGATGCATGTCCTTCAAATCATTTATTATTTTACTAGTCTCTATTCATGACAAAGCATCACCATTTTTCACACACGATTGCAACACAATGGTAAAGTAACAAATACCAACTCCAGTGGTCATTTTTCAGTTCATCTCATGTGACCTTTCTGCTGCATTTAATGTTCTTAATTTCTTTATTTTTAGAAACAGTCTCGCTATGTTGCCCAGGCTGGTCTCAAACTCCTGGCCTCAAGTGCTCCTCTTGCCTTGCTCTCCCCAAGCATCGGGATTACAGGCATGAGCCACCACTGCCTGGCCTATTTGACTGGTCTTCTCTTAAACTCTCTTAATTTGGCTTCCTTGATTCCACCTGCCCCTGTTTTTCTGCTACCTCCTAGAGAATTGCTATGCTCACCTTTCTTCCCAAATTATGGGCGTGTCATTAAAGCTTTTTTCTTCCTAGGCCACTTCTACCTAGATGTGAATAACTCCACAACTCAGATCTCATCTACACTCCAGACTTATTTCAGACTGTCTTCTGAAGTTTTTATTGATGGACTAATGGATACCTCAAACTCACTATACGATTAATGAAATTCCTCTCTGCTTTTTTTTTTTTTTTTTTTTGAGACAGAGTCTTGCTCTGTTGCACAGGCTGGAGTGCAGTGGCATGATCATGACTCACTGCAGCCTCAAATTCCTGGGCTTAAGTGATCCTCCCACCTCAGCCTCCCGAGTAGCTGGGACCAAGGTGTATGCCCCTACAGACGGCAATTTTTAAAATTTTTTTTATAGAGACAGTGTCTTCCTACATTGCCCAGACTGGTCTCGAACTTCTAGGCTCAAGCGATCCTCCTGCCTCAGCCTCCCAAAATGCTGGGATTACAGGCGTGAGCCACTGCACCTAGCCCTCAAACTCCTAAGTGTTCTGCCGTCCTTCTAGCTTACTTACTGTACCACTTACTTATGTTGAAAATGATTTTCTCATGTCCCTTGCCACTTGAATCAGTAGACCTGTATCTGCAGGTAAAAGATCAAACTCTTTTGAAGGATAGCCAAAGCAATTAGGATCAGTGTCTCATCTTTACAGATTTATCCCCCATCATTTCTTAATATTTATCCTGCTTTCTAACAAAGCTGAGCTACTTGCAATTCCTCTAAAGCAACATGCATGTTCACATTGTCAATCTAATCCCTCTCTTCATCAGATGCTTTGTCACCCACTTATTTTATCAGTAATGATAACATTCACTAATTTATATATACCTTCTTTGTTCTGGCTTCTTACTAGGCAGATGGTATCTTTGATCCTCACAATAATTCTGCAGAGTAGATTTTTTTGTTCCTGTTTTACAGGTAGAACCAAGGCCCAAATAGGTGAACAAAGGTCCAAATTATGTTAGCAGCTGGGGAAAATAATCTGCGCTCTCAAGGAACTTAAGGTTCAGTAGAGAAGACAGACTTAAAAATCAACAAATACACATTTAAGAGATAACTGTATTT